GAGGCTTTTATGCTTACGACGAGTTAGTTAGATTTGAATGATAGTTTAGCTATAGTATGTATCAGACTGCTCAAATAAAAATGTACTTTTGTCTTCATTTGATTAATAAACTAATGATCTAGCCTGGCTACGGGTATACAAAAAAAAAATAAAAAATAAAAAATAAAGATATTTAGTAATAATAAAACTTGAAAATATATTAATAATAAAATTTTTAAAAAATATAAGAAATAAAATAAGTATTAAGATATAATATATATAAATTTTATAATTTTTAATTACTGTATATAGTTAATGATTTAAAAAATTTTCAAAGTTAAAATTTATAATAAAAACATAGTAAATAGACTCAAACTTTTAGAAGTAACCATATATAAAGATGAGTTAGTTACTTTGTGAAAGTCTGTAAACTATTATAGATTTTATTTTAATTTCTTAATAAAAACAAGCCATTGTAACATAATTGCAGATTAAAAAAAAAATATTTTTTTTATTAAAGAACTTGAACTTTTATAGACAAATATTTTTAAAATATTCTTTTCAATTATTAATAATACTATTGAAATATATAAGAAAGATTAATAAAAGCTTAATTATATTTCAAAAATTAATATATTTTACATTATCAAATTATTTTTAGTGAGAATTTATATTGTTAAAAATTCAAAATTAAATTAAGATAAATAAAATTTCTTAGAAACTATTAAAGTAAAAGCTTTAAAAGAAACAAATAATTTTTAAAAAAAAAATAAGTTTTTTTAATGTTATAAAATCTTTATAAATCTCATATTTAAAAGTTAAAAAACTTTTAAATATTTTATAATTAGATTTTTTCTTTTAAAAACTTTTATATCATTAGTATTAAAGATATTACTTAATTTTTCTTGATTACTGAAAATTATATTTTGAGTAAAGAGATTATAAACAATGAAGAAAGAATAAAAATGATTTTTGAAGCTATATTTAAGTTGTTTTAAGAAAAATATTATTATTTTATTAGCAAAAAAGTGAGAAAACTTTTTATAAATATTTTTTTTATATATAGTCAAAAAATTAATTAGCATACTAATAATATTTTTATTTTCTTTATACTATTTAAATAATTTATTGAATTTTATTTATAATAATAATAATAATTATTATTATTATTTTAAACTGCAACTAGTATTAGATACAAATACTTTTATTAAGAATTAATTTAACATTTTAAATAATAAAATCCTTTAGAGTATTACATTAATTATCTCCTACAAACTATATATTTCTATATATATGAAAATTAATAATAACCTATTGTGATTTTCTCTAGGTGAACCTGCTACCACTCTGTGAGTAGGGTAGATCCAGCTAGAGGTCAGATGGTCAAATACATAGTCATAGATACCAAAACAGATTAATTAGTAGTAAGTTTTATAAATTTTTATATTATATTTACTAAACTAGGCTATATAGTATATACCTAATAGAATTTAGTTTACCTTCTAATACTTCCAGGAATATTATTCACTCAGACTTTGGAAGGGGACACTTTATCTTTTTTGTCATCACCTGTGATATTGGATCAGTCACATTTTGATTGATTTTCAATTAAGTGGAGCACCATATTGGAATATTCTGAGCTAGAAGGACAGGAGTCCTGAAAATTGCCAGGGTAGAGGGTTTGTGGAACATTTATAATAGGCTAGACCAGAAGCTTTTTTTTATACAATCTTTTCAGTTGTATAACTATAGATCTCAAGCCTCTGATCGATGAAAGGTCAGAAGTCCCATCTTTATATAGCCTAACTTGATTAAAGCTTATTTCAGATGATTGGGTATAACTTTTCCAGGATAACCGGTAAACCTGATTAAAAGGATAATTTTAATTTTTTGATCCTTAAGTGATATTGAACTACAGATCTTGTGATTATGACCTGGAAGCATTATTACTATACTATTAATCCATAGGTCTTATAATAATTAAATTTTTTTTAAACCCTCTGTCAGGCTAGATATGTGTGCTTAGGTCTTATAATAATTATTATTAGTATACTTAATAATTATTATTATATATTATTATTTGAATATATATTATATTTAAATACTATTTATTTTATTTTATTTAATAATTATATCTTAATCAAGATTTATTTTATTATTTACCTAAAAAATTAATCAACTTACTTTGATTATGATTTTAAATATATTTAAATTGATACACTTATATTCTATTACTTGTTTTATTGAGATAAATTACTTATCTTGATCATATGTTGATTATGTATATAGTATATTAAATTATTTATTCTTAAAGAGTTTTAATATCTTTCTATAATATAATTTGATTAAATTTCTCACTCTTATAAAATTTACCATATCTTAAATTTTATATTAAACAGTAATAAAAAGAAATATCAAAAGTAAAATCTTGATTTTATTGATAATATCCATATATAAGACTAAAGACAATAATATAATCAAATCCATTAATGTATATAATCAACTATTTGAAAATAAACGGTATAATAATATTGTTAATTTGAAACCTTTATCAATACAAAAATATTATTATAATAAATAAATTAACATAAATATTAATATCTCAACTCTAGTAATAAATTTATTAGCCCCGTGCACAAAATTTTTATATACACATACTGTATGTATTGATTATTGTTAAATATGATATTTATTAAATAATAATCGTTAAATTATTTTCTTTAAAAAGCTTTGATTTTTTGATTCGATGCAACATAAATCAAAGAATTGCGTCTTAGCGTCAAATAAATTTCTTTCAATAGGAAATCTCTTGAAAATTGAGTTTCGAAGGTAAACAATATTGTTTTTTTTTGCTAGCTGCGGCGAATTAACTAATAATCTACTTTCCATTGTCAATCGAATTTAGTAATATATTGTGTAGATCGAACAACTTTTTTACTCCACATGATACCATCTAAATAAGTCAAAACATATGTTGATCCCACGACAAGCTAACAAATATACAACAGCGATTGTAATTTATCCTTATTTGTTCCTGCACGTCTCGTTATTATTCAAGTTCAAAGGAGGATTGCCTAAAGCCAAGGATCGAAGTTGGTTTTGTGGTACGTGATCGATACTTGTCATGCTGATTCTTGTATTAATAAGCTTTATTCGTTTCTTTGTATAGATCTGAATACCTGTTGCCTCCTTGGTCGTTTTATGATGGAGTTTTCGGCGTCTTCAGAAGAAGTCTAATAGATTAAATTTCTTTAATGATTCCAAGGACACGATATAAAACAAATTATAATATTATTTCATCTCTTACTTGTCTTTTACTTTGTATCGTTTGCTGTCGATTACGGACAAAAAAAAAAAAAGAAAAGATAATAATAAAAAAGATTAATGACCACAGATCACCAGAACTATCGTTTCCTTTGGTAGAAATTTGACGGAAATGAATACACATACCTTCGGGAAGACAGGGACGAAATGATTACATGAAGGGGCTAACTCGTCCAGAAAGACAGAAGCAGTTTTTGCGTCTATCACACTAACGTTAGTCCATAGAATTTTAATTTCACCCTTATTCTTTAATATTCTGGGTTCTATCCTTCGAGAAAACGTTTCTTCATACAGGGAATTCCTGACCGGAGGAAATATTGAGTTAATTGGTCTTTCCAACACCGAAGATAATCCATATATCGCCAACAAGGTACACCAAGCCCCAATATCACACATCTCCCTGATTTGCGCGAAATATCTGACTTCATGTTTCATTTCCGGTGGTGCAGAATCTCCTTCGTCGAGCGCTTTGTCGGAATAGGTGATTGCTTTCTTAAATTCGTCGAGCGAAAGGTAATGCTTCGAGTATTTGATCAATTCACATAGAACGGCTAAGCGGAGATGGGTTGATAAATCTTCAGTTCCCATCAATATGATAGAGACACTATTAAATAAGCAATTTCCATCTTCCTTTGCCTTTAAACATTCAAACTCGGCCTGATATTGAGGGGGAAGCAGAAAGCAGGCACCCTTATCCAAGTGAATACCGGATGGTTTGCCGCTATTCAAGGTCGATAGATCGTGAGGAATAATTTTGGAAGTTGGGTTTGACTCCGCCAATTTTTTGATCTCTTCATAATTTACACGATAATTAGTAAATAGTCTACGTAATTTTCTAATGACACTACGGACTTCCTTAAGCTCCATATTATTTTATTTTATCGATTGTAAAGAAAGAACGGATTTTTTGCAAACTCGTAATATTATATGCGTACTTGTATTGTGACACAGCCGGAGTCACGTTACACTTTAACACGTGGATTACTATTTTATTGTTTCCGAGAGTTAAATCAAATCGGTGATACTATTGGATAATTAATTATTGAATTGTAATATCGAGATGAATAAATAATTGACTCGGGATCACAGTCCTGCATGTGATATCCCCAGGTTTAAGGGTTTAAGTAATTACGTATGCAAACTTAAAGCTTGGAGGTTGAAATCGACACTTGTTTCATTGGGACATCACCGCCATCGCTGATACCGTTATCTTTGTTCCCGTAATAACCGGGATTTCTGAAATAGTTTTCTATGATATTCACCAACCCCTCAATTTCTTCTTCAGAATTATCCGCATGAAGACAAATTCTTATGCGCTCTTTGCCAACCGGCACCGTCGGGGATCTTATCGGTTTCACGTTGTATCCTGCTTTTTGGATTATGCGGCTTAGTCTCACCGCGTTCTCATTTCCTGTGATGAGAAGAGATATTCGTATATATATCTCTTTAACATTTAGCGATGGAGGGGAGAAAGAGCAATTGACGATCCTTACTCACCTGAAACAACAATTCCCTGGATTGCACTTTCAGAAGGCAACAATACATCCGCCGGTAATTTTATGCTGCTTCGAAATTTGCGAATTAATTTTGCCAAATTTTTTCGAAGCTATGAATAAATTTAGAAAGAAAGAATGAAATCAAACTGGTGATGATTTCCGAGACGAACTTTCACCAAAAAGATACCTGATCACCAATTTCTCCCGACATAACTTCATAAGAACATCTGATAGCCAGAAGATTGCTATGCGATAAAAAGGTCGAGAATATCAAAGGCCTTGCGTAATTAATCAAATATGACCTTAAAACTTTTGGACCAAGTATCGCCGCTAACCGTGTGTGGGTTCCATGTACAGTATATACAGGAATGAAATAAGTCAGCTCGTAGCTTTTTTTTTTTTTCTTTCTTCTTTTGTGTAAAAATCGAATCAACAAACCTCCATTGCAGGCCAAAGCTTTTCCGAAAGTGTGGAGACGTGCAAACACTTGTTTTTCTAATCCCAATTCACTTACGATTCCCCTTCCTTGATTCCCGTATACACCAGTTGCATGGGCCTATACATTAAGTCAAGAGAGAGAAATTCGATTTAAACCCCGGTTAAATCCAAAGTAAGGTATACAATCGGTACAGGATTCACCTCATCGACGGATAAGTACGCGTTGTAGGGTTTCAAAAGTTCAATGATCTCTTTAATAGGAGCAAAATCTCCGTCCATAGAATATAAACTTTCTACAGCAACAAATATGTTCTTTTCAGAACCAATCTTCCCGACAACTTTAATTAACGTCTTTTTGAGACTTTCGATATCATTGTGCTTAAATGTAGTTTTAATTGTTGCCCTGGAGCTTTTTACCCCATCATGCACGCTCGCGTGTATCAGTTCATCTAGGATTATAGCGTCACCGGGTTGCGGGACGCAACTGAAAAACCCAACGTTAGCATCAAACCCCGAAGTGAATGTCAGTGCTGATTCGGAATTATGAAATTGTGCTAAAAATGTGTCCAATGATTCGGCATATGAAGAATTTCCGTCTAACAAGCGTGAACCCGTTGAACCCAACGGTGAGTGTGGAAAGTTCGATAGAGCATCTAGATAATTTTTTTGAAGAATGGAATTTCGAGAAAGGCCCAAAAAGTCGTTCGAAGAGAAGTCAACGGAACCCGGAGGATTTACCACAAAGGAGCGAAGGAGATTGCGTTTTACGCGTTTATCGAGAGCCGCTTCTAATTGCTCGATTAAGGGCATCTCTGATAAGTCGGCAAAGAAGATTGAGTAATTTAAGATTATGCATTATAGTGATCAAACTCGCATGCATAATGCAGAGCTTTGATCGTCCAATAAATTTCATCAGCCTCACGTATAAGACGCGAGTGACACGTCCTTTTTTTTATTCTCCATATTGAAAAATGGAAATCACCAACACACACCAACCGCGTTCGATGCTAGTCCTGGCACTACATAAACTCCTCAACATTACTCCATCTTCAAACGACATTTTACACGTCTGGACTCAACAAGGACTACTGAATATTTGTCTGGGTCCTCGTGAGAAATCGGTATAGAAGAATTGGGGCTTTTCTCATTGGATGAATGAATGGTATTTAAAGTTCTTGTCTTGCAGGGAAAAAGGCGATCCAAAGTACAAGGATTACTGGAAAGACTAGTTAAAAAGGAACTCATGCATTCTGCGAAAATTTGTACCGATAATGAAAAGTGCGAAGTGGTAATTTATTGGATCCCTCACTCTCCGCCGAAAGGGAAGAGTTCGGAAGGTGATGTTCAGGAAATGGATGTGAGTTGTATTCGATTCTGTTCGCTGGATGATGATTGCGTTTCACTTATTAAATTTCTGAAATTCGATTAACGGCAGGTTGATCAAAAACAAATAACTGAAAGGGCCGTGCCAAGAACGGTACGCAAATTTTTGCGGTTTAGAATAAATAGTCTTTAATTGAAGAAGATGATTCTTAGAACTTTTGCACAATTTTCGCAAAAGCCCGAACCTCCTGTAAAAAGAATCTCACTTGGACCCAAGACCACCAGTCAATCGATGGCGTCAATAATAAGTAAAACTCGAGCCAAGTTTTCTGGTTCTACGCCCATTTCAACCCCTACTGGTAAAAGGACCCCCCTATCATCGTTGTCAAAAAAATCGAGAAGGCAATCTTTTAAATCCCCTCTGGTTCAAGTATCCAAGAATCCGGAAATTAAAGCGTTAATGGAACAACGACGACAATTGGAAAAGGACATTGAAACCAGCGAAAACAATATTCGGAGGATTAAGTTACTGTTAAAATATCAAGAAAAGGCATTCTCTTTGTTTTTAATTATTCTAATCGATTTCAGGTTTTTCGCTTTTTCTTTCTTTTTCTTTTTTTTCAAAAAAACTTAACCAAGATTTCCTTTTAAAGGACGAAGATGCTAACAATGAAAATCTCATAAAGATCTGGAGAAAAGCGAGCCAAGAAGCTGCAGAATTCCTATTTTCAAAACTTCCAAAACAATCCTCATTTCTTGAGTCAGGGGGATATTCTGAGTTTTGGGGGAACAGCAATTGGGGTTGGGGTGATTCAAATGAATCAAAAAGCAAGCAGGGAGACGAAAATTCGGATCGAGAAGATCACGAGGACGAATATGAAACAAGAAGAGGTAGCACAGAACAGAAAGATACGATGAAGTATATGCTCACAAGGATGGGGGTCGATGTCGATTTGATCAAATGGAATGAGGATGATGAATGCTTTGAAGAATGACTTGCGAATTGTTGAGAATGTTAACCAAAAACGTTGTTTTCGTTGTTTGCTTGTGATGTAATTGAAAGGATGCGCGATGATGCACGACATTGAATCCATTCACCTAACAAATTATCGCATACTAATTACTAGTGGTTAAAAAAAAAGTCAATCTTATATGCTTGTAAAGAAATACGGAGCTTGAGAATATCATATGTAACGCTGTCGTCCTTATTTACTATTGAATATAAAGGATGAACTAGTTTTGTAATAATTTGTCAAACAATGAATAGGTACAATAATGTAATTTTTTTCTAAAACACAATATGTACTTCAAAAAACATTTTGCGAAAGAATTGAAACTTAGTTATGCGAAACTAGGATTACACAACACTTGGTTGCGTGAAACTTGGAACATTCAAAAAGATTTGATTTGATTCGAAACCTTATGATACCGTGCCATTGCTTTTTTTTTTTTTTTTGAATTCGGAATAAGTTACAGAGGAATAAATGAGGTGAGAAAAAACAGTTTCCGATTCGGCATTTCAAAATATCCATTTGGTAGCTACTCATTTATGATGAGTGTTTCCGTAAGACAGACCAATCGACTCAATGGTATTACTGTCATTAATAATCAGTAAGCACTCTTGATTTATCTATTTTATGATCCTAGAAAATTTCTTACATTTAATTTATTATGCAAAATAGAAACAGATCAAATACAGTTAACTCATTAACTCTTTTTGTGGTGAACTCAAAATTTTAGCTGGCACAAACTCTTGGAACCATCAGCAAGAGTTAATTGAGATTTTTCACACATTAAATATTAAATTACAAGTTATGTCGAATGAATATAACACGCCGCTTCTTTTTTTAATTTCTGTGTACGCATAGAAAAAACACTTTGGCAAGATGTGCGACTATCTATTACCAAAAATCATTCGGTAAATGACGCAATCAATTTTTATTGTCACGTTATAATTCCACATTTCCACACCCATTTCGTATTTACCCGACCGATATATTGTGACTTTCAGGAGTTATTTGGTTGTTCACACGGTGCCTTTTTTTTTTTTTTTTTTTTTAAAAGGCATTATTTGACTTTAACCTAAAAAGGTAAGATTTTATTCTTCTATTCAGGAAAGGTGAATATAAGTTGTTCGTTTAGTTGTCATTTCGCGTCTTCGATAAACACCTCCCTTTCTTTTTAATACTTACTTTACTTCCTCTCATTTTCTACAGCGCATATAGTGTGAAGTTTCACCTCAATAGCTTTCTTGGATTAGCAAAATTCCTTTCACTGGACTTGCATTTAAACATTCCTGAATGCCGTACCTTAAATAACGTAGCATATATACATTATTTGGGAATATTAAATGAGACGTAACAGTAATTCTTGCACTGCAGCTACAACACCAGTCGATATACATAAAGCAATCCTCCAAAACCCCACAATTTTTTCAAACTCTTCAAATTCCGGTCTGGGCAACAATAACCAATTTTTTTTTGAAAAAAGCAATGACACTTCCAATACCAACGAACATGAGTCAACAACCCATGTCCGAAATTAAACAGAGCAAGGTGAAACGTCTTAGTTGGAAAGTCGGCTCCAAGATCCCGAAATTTATCAGGACGCCATCGTCACAAACTAAAAGGTCCGAGTCGTTTGGAAGTGGTGTTGACACAGTCAACGACCGTGAAAACCTGAGCAATCTATTGTCCTCATCACCCAGCGATTTGACAAGTCCAAAGTACAACGCCAATAAAAATGTTGATTCAAACACGAATCGGGTGAAGAGCAAGGAATATGCCACGTTGGGAGCAAATAATAATTCTGGAAAGGTTGATGTTCGCGACATACCAGGGATATATGCACCATCCGAATCATTTAAAATTGAAAATAATTATTCTGCTCCTTCTTTAATATTGAATCTTGAAAAATTGTCAACAACCACTACGAAAACACAAAAAAAGAATATCAAAGCTTCCCCGTCGAAAACTCTACCGAGAAATTTTTGGCGTTTGATTGGCAAGAAAAATAAGCCACCTGAGCTTGTAACCACACCTCTTTCACCATCACCAACCAACCAATTCTCATACACTTCACCATTTGGCGTTCCAGAAAAGGTTCCAAAAAAGAGGCGAGGTAATAGACCGATAAGTGGCAATTTCTCTCTCGCAAAACAAACGTTGGTCAATCTGATGCTGCGTAAAGGACGAAATCAGTCACCCGAAGATTCTTCCACGACCACTGAGGGTGATCCAGTGACGACCTATGAAAGCTTTCCCGATCCCGATCGGGAGGATTTTATCAATGTGAATTCTTGGGATTTACCCGACTCATTATCGGCAACCGAGGACGCTGCTGGTGTATTACAAATGATTGAATACGATGGCATATACATAAATGGTGTAAAGGTCAACTAGATTAATTGATTAATTTGGATCGAGAATTATTATATTATTTTGTTCATCTACTCTTTGTCACACATTGTATCATAACTTGTTTTTGTATTTGTTCCTATTGTCCCGTATAAAATTTCATGTTTATTAGATTCACTTTTATAACAACATTAACTGCTGTAGCTTACTTAAACCACAACAATTGAAATAATATATAACAAACACACTTCGCATTGTATTGTTCTCAAACACACATCTTTGAATTATTGACCATTGTACATATTTCATTAGCATTTTATTGCTAGTTTATCCATATTAAATTGATTGTGTTTTCTGAACCTAGAATCATTACTACTTTTTAAAGTAATTTCTTTGATGGATCTGTCTAGCATTTTGAGTATACTTTTTCCAGGTTGCTCGGAGTCTGGAATTTAAACGCGAAAGCATAATCAATTATGCAAGAAGTTCAGTTATCTCCTTACTAATAAAGTTTTGATACATTCTTTATAATAACTTGAAAAGTACTTTCAAGGGTTACCATTACCTTTCTCTTTTTGTTGATAATCATTTTTACTTATAAACTTCTAATAATAATAAAAAGTTAAATAATATATTTACTATTTATAGTAAAAAAGTTCTTAAGGAAAAAAAATTAGTTATATAGTATCTACTAATCCTATATAAAAGAATGTTTGCAAAAAGTTTTTATATTTCTTAGTTAATAAAATTTTAATACTTTCTTTAAATCAATCTAAAATCTATCTTTAAAAATTATCTCTACTTCTTCTTTTTTATTTGTAATTCTCTTTAAACATAAACTCGATCTTTTGTAATTTAAAATATTCAAGTAATATCTTTTCTACCAAAGACAAAAAAGGTTTATAGTTATCTCATACTATAAAAAAACATTATATAATGTTTAAAATAATAAAAAACAATTTATTCATTCACTTATTATTTATTTATATTTTAATAATATTTATTGTTTGATTTTTTTTTAAAAAATTTTACCTACAATTGTTTTCAAAAGTTTGTGTCCACTTACTATGTTTTTATTATAAATTCAACTTTGA